CCCCAAAACCCCAAAACCCCAAAACCCCAAAACCCCAAAACCCCATTATTAGAAATAACAGTTGAAATTTACATAATTTAATTATCTAAGCAAATCTCACACGTGATGAAGAACCAAAGTTTATTAAAGTTCATGTCTACTCCAAGCAAGGATGCTAAAAAGCCTGAATCTGTCTTAAAGACACAAAATAGCTCAACTGCTACTAAAAAGGTAAAGCAGAGAAAGACGAAAACTAAAGAAGAGCTAGTACCTCATTCGAGGAAGACTCCAAAGCCATCACAAGATGTAGAGATGGTGGACGAATCCAAAGGTAAGTATCATGTAGGGATCATAGCTATAGAAGCAACTAATGAGAATCTGCCAGTGGAAAGTACTGAAAAGATCCAAAAAGATGAAGAAAATTTAGCTCCTAATATGGAAAAATCCGCTAAAAAGAATAAAAGGAAATCCAAGAAAGATGGAACAGCTCGGCTCAGGAAGAGGATTAAGACAGCACCGAAGGAGAAGGACCAACAAGATGGCACTAAAGAGGCTCATGAGGACGAGAAGGAGATTCCAGCCTCTTCTCAAAAGCCTACTGCAAAATTAGATACAACTCAGAAATCAACTTCCAAGGAAGAAAAGAAGGTATCTGCTTCTGATTCAAACCAAGATGGTGGAAAAACAACTCCTGAGGAGGAAGCCTCAGCTCAGCCCAAGCAGTCCAAAAGAGGAAGGAAAATAAAGGCGACCATGCAGGACTCGCAGCCATCAGTTGAAATTAAAAGAGAGAAGAAATTGATTGAAAAATTAGAATCCCAGCTCTCCGACCTGATTAAGGCGGGAATTGATTGCAAATTAAATTTAGAGCCTTCCATGAGAGAAAAACACAAGATTAACTTAGGATCTCTGTCAGAATTTATCAAGGAGAAGGACTCCATTGACTTGAAAGACCCTGAGACTCAAATCATTTTTATCCAAACATTCTCATTCATAATTGACTCTTCCAGTCTTCCTCTCCAAGAGTTGGTCAGGAAATGAATCCAAACTCTTGCGCAGCTCGGAGAGGAAGTATCTTCCAAGGTGAAGGCTGAAGATTTTGAGACCTTTATTAAAGAAAATTCAGAGAGGAAAATATATGGTAAATTGGCTGATACAAATGATACACTTAACGACGCCACTCCTGAAAGCCTCTACTGCTGGGAGATTGTCAATACTGCCCTAATGGATGGAGCTGTCGTTAAGGACATCAACCTAGTCCGAGCAAGCAGAGGTTTTATAGGAGATAAAATAAGATCCTTAACAAAGTTAATTAAGTTAATCAACAAAGCAACTAAGGATAAGGACTTGGAAAAGATCCAAAATGAGAAGGAAAAGTTTTCTAAAATCGATAAGAAGGAGACTGCTCACGCCCAGAAGGTCACTCAGAGGATCCTCCAGATCAAGGAGAAGGAAGAGAAGGAAGCCCAAAAGCAGCTGAAAAAGCAACAAATAGAACTTGCCAAGGAAATGAAAGAAAAACAGAAGAGAGAAGAAGCAGAAAGGAAAAAGAAATTAGAAGCTGAAGCTAAGCAAAAGAAGAAAGAAGAGCAAGCTAGGATTAAGAAGGAGCAGGAGGAAGCCAAGAAAAAGAAACAAGAAGAGATCCAGAGGCAGAAGGAGTTGAAGAAACAGAAAGAAGAGGAGGAGAGAAAGAAAAAGGAAGAAGAAATTAGGTTACAAAAAGAAAAAGAAGAGAGTGCTCAAACAAAACTAGCATGTTTCTTCAAGAAGTCAGCCCCTCCTAAGCCAGCTCCTAAAGCACAATCTTCCATTCCACCCCCTTCATCCGACACAAAGCCATCTGAGCTCCTCAGTGACTTCATCCTCAAATGCCAAAAATCACCTCCAATAACCCCCCAAGAGATCAAATCTCACCTAAAAGACACTATTCACACCTCTAGAACGCTCAAAAATGCTCCAAAATGCCCTATCTCCACCCCAAACTCTCGTAAGAAGGACATCTTCATTGAAGGGTCTTACAAGAAGCTCTCTTGAGTCTGGCACAAGAAGAGCCACATAATCACGCCTCGTAACCCATTTAAAATGGACGAAGCCCTGATAGACTACGATATGGACTCTGAAGATGAATTCGAGGAAGAAAATGGAGAAGATATTAATAGTGACAAAGAAGATGATGACGAAGATATGGGCGAAGATGACGAAGAAGACGGCTGGATCGTCCCTGATGGGTACCTCTCAAGGTCAGAGAAGAACGATGATGATCTCGAACTTGATAAAGATCCTAAAGAAAATAGGATTGGGTATACTGAAGTTAAGAAGGAAAGAAAATTCGATAGTGTTATACAGCCTGTAATCAATGTTTATCAAGGTTCTGGATTTGAAGAATTCAAGATCATCAGTGCCAATCCTCAGATCTTATTCCCCTTGGTCATTTCAGCTAAGGATTTCGACCAGGTTGACGATGAAGATGATAAGAAAGATAGTGCTGATCCTAATGCGATCAAAAAGAAAATGAAAGAGTTCATTCTCATGGTCCATGGTTCTTATGAAGCCAAGTTCAAACTTATCGAAGAATTTGCTAAGGAGAACCCTGAATGTAGTAAAGCATCCATTGAGAGAACAATAAGAGAGGTGTCTTCTAAAGAAAAGGAATTTTCCCAGAGTAAATTCAGATATATCGTAACTCAAGAAGCCATTGATGCTTCAGAAGTTGATAAGGAAGAACTACAAAAGATCTTTGATGCCCGCTTCGCTGTAGTCCAGGAAGAAATTGATCAAATTGAGAGAGAAAAACAAGAAGAAAAGCAAAAGGAGAGAGAAGAAAAAGAAAGAATCAAGGCAATTGAGAGAGAGAAGAAAGAAGAAGCTAAAAGAATTGAGAAAGAAAAGAAGCAAGCTGAAAAGCTCAAAATCAAGCAAGAAAAGGAAAGACTCAAGCAGAAGGAAAAGGAAGAGAAGTTAAGGCTTAAAGAGGAGAAGAAGAAGGAAAAACAGAAGGATAAAGGAAGTAAATCCTCGACTAAATCTGAAACAGACACTGATGCCCCGAAGAGAAGTCGTGGACGTCCTAAAGGAAGTAAGAATAAGGCTAAATTAGATAAGCCAGTTGTTGAATCATCACAAGGTAGCTTCTATGACTAACTTTATAGTGGAAATGACAGCTCCTCCGAGCTCTATCACACCAGTTAAGGCACCTAAACCAGCTTCTAAAAAGACAGAGAAAGTAGAGAAGCCTCAGCAAAAGAGTGCTCCAAGCTCGATCTTAAATTATTTCTCTAAGAATTAAGGATGCAGCTAGCTAATGAGTTATTAGAAGGAATTCAGGTTAAGAGTTTAGTAAGATTTGGCGGGAGATTTGTGAGTTTATTGGGAAATTAATAGGATTTAGAAAATTTGAGAAACTAGGGTTGGTTGATAGTTTAGGATAATTTTGAGGGGTTATAAGTGTGTAGAATTGAGGTTTAGATAGTATACTTTTTTGGTTTGCTTTGATATGAGAATTTTGAATGTATTTTGTGGTTGATGTAATAATAGATAGCATTTAATTTGTTTTCAAAATTATATATTTTTAACGGGGTTTTGGGGTTTTGGGGTTTTGGGGTTTTGGGG